AAGATGGGATGGATGGTGATTGGAGCATGTGATCGACTGAGGAGTGAGGGGATGGTTTTGGGGGTTTTGATTTACTGAGGGAAAACCCGGACCTCTCAGATTCGGGTTTGCCCAGATGTGCCAGTTTACCTATTCTAGTTAATAGAACTTTGAAAAATGCTTGCTTCAGAGTTTTTACTTGGAGTTGGAGGGTTTTCTGACACCATGCTGTTTACTTAAGGACTGCTGCAAAAAATGCTGAAAAATTGGCTCTGGTCACCAAATGATTTGCAACTAATTCTGGGCTCAGTTATGGTTGTAAATTGAGGACCATGTACTCATTATGGAGTGCCTCAACATTCTGCCTCTCTCTTCCAAGCCTGTTCCTCGTATTTGCCATCAGACTATTTAGGAGTGTCTCCATCTTCCCCTCACAGGATGCAGTACAAAGCTGCCCACAACACAACCTGTCTTTTCAACATAGAACTCGTGGACCCAGGCCCTATCTTGTTAGACCTCCTTCAACTTAGAAATGTATCCCATTATCGAAACACATGAACCCTACCCATCGACCCTATTTGCATAACAAATATCAGAAGTTCGACACCCCTGTGTCAGCACGTCAAGATGCATTTATCCTAGTGCTGACATGAGAAGGAGAACGCAAGTGTCTGCAACAGGACGGTTGCCTTTCACCTACTTATTTTAGCTGGAGATAATGTCCCCTAGGAGATGGATGGGAGGGGGGAAATTCTTTGAACTGGAGCAGTAGATTAGGGGTGAATGATTGGGAAGATGGCCAATGAATGCAGAGGAGTGGGGGAAGGAAGAGGAGGGATTTTGGGTCAGCACATCAGTGCTGGCTGCATGGAGTCAGTGTAAAAGTTGCCGTGCTAAATAAAATGGAAGTTTGTTTCAAAAAAGACTTTGTTTGAGATGCAACTTATTTGAAGACGACCTGAAAATCTGACACCCTGATGTAGCACACAGGGAACTATCAATTGACAAACAGCTTTTAATTTGAAACTCCCACTCTACTTTTTCTTCCCTCCCATCTTGGCAGGACCTACAAACTTTCATCAAACTCCTTTTAGATTGGATGAGTTTGGGTTGGGCGATGGGTTTTTTTTCTTCTTCTTCTTCTTCTTCTTTTAATCTGTACAATCTTTAATTTATTACTGGCTGAGAAAAGTTGGAGCAAGATAAATACATAGATCAATAAGGAGAGGATTTGCTCAGGGTCTAAGAGGCAGCATATTGGGATTCTAAAATTTCAACCCAGAAGCTTGAAAAAGGTCAAATCAAAATTGAAAGATCAATTTGTTCCACAGCCACCAACATCACTTATTCATGAGGCCGGGCTGGAGACGTTTAGTATTCATTTGAAACGTATCTTTAGACTGGAGCAGCCTATTTAAATAGTAAAATTAGCTTTTAAGACCTATTCTACACTGATACAGCACAGTCAAAATAGTATGGCTTGGTTAATTTGGCCTGTTCAGAATTCAGCACTGTTGAAAGGGAACAAGAGCGGTAGAGGAAGGTGGGGGGGGGGGGAGAACAGATTCTCACTTCAAGGGAATGTTTCTGACTGCAGAGGTAATGAAATGCATTATCCCCAATAATTAAAAAAAAATTACTTTCCTCGCTTCTCCACTCCTGTTATTCAAAAAAGAAAGTGGGGTGAATGGAGTACGATAAATTGCAGAAGTAGGCTGTAATAAAATACATTACAGATAGTCCTCGACTTATGACCCCAATTTCCATTGCTAGGCAAGAAGGTTGTTAAGTGAACCGCTCCTGATTTTATGACCGTTTTTGTCAGGGTGGAAAGCGAATCACTGCAGCAATTCACATGTTTACTGAAAGCCAATCTTGGATTCCCTCACTGATTTTGCCTGTTGGAATTCGACTGGGAAGGTTGCAAATTGTGATCCCATGATCCTGGGAAATTGCCCCCATCTTAAGTACATGCTGGTTGCCAAGTAATCAGATTCTGATCACGTGACTCTGGGGTGCTGTAAGTCAGTGGTGGGTTCCTCCCGGTTCGGCCCGGTTCAGCCGAGCCGGTAGCCATGACAATATGACATCACCGAACCGGTTCTCTTTGTTCGGGAGCTGGGCCCCCCCACCCATCCCCCACGTTAGTCTTACCTTTTATTTGGCCCCGCCCCCAATCTATTCGCTGCCTCCCGAGTCCCAGCTGATCGGCTAGAAGGAAAAAAACTGTTTAAATTATTGCTGCGGGGCTTCAAAGGGCCACCCTACAGCTGAGCAGTGTTAAAAGGTAGCGTGGTGGTAGACCGGTGCCTCCAAAAACAAATGAGTAGACCGGAACACTCCAAGAACAAATGGGTAGACTGGTACAGCTCTGCAAGCAGTTAAAAGACTGGTAGACCAGTACCTCTGCTAAATCCTAAAGAATTGTCACATGACCATCAAACCACGCCCACAAAATAAGCCATGCCCACAGAACCGGTAGTAAAAAGATTTAGAACCCACCCCTGCTGTAGGTGTCGTAAGTCACTTTTTTTTTAGTGCCGCTGTAACTTTGAACAACCATTAAATGAATGGTTATAAGTTGAGGACTACTTGTATCCCCAATAATAAAAAAAATATCTTATACGGGTAATGCTTGACTTATGACAATTGAGCCCAGAATTCCTGTTGCTAAGTGAGACATTTGTTAAGTGAGTTTTGCCCTATTTTACGACCTCTCTTGACACATTTGTTAAGTGAATCACTGCAGATGCTAAGTTAGTAACATGGTTGTTAAGTGAAGATGGTTTCCCCATTGATCCAGCTCATCAGAAGGTCGCAAAAGAATATCGTATAACCCTGGGACACTGTAACCCATCATAAATATGAGCCAGTTGCCATGCATCTGAATTTTGATCACGTAGCTATGGGGGTGCTGCAAATGTTTTTCGTGCGAAAAATGATTATAACTTACTTTTTCCAGTGCCGTTGTAACTTTGAACGGTCACTAAACGAACTGTTGTAAGTCAAGGACTACCTGTAGTTTTTGCTTCTCCCTTCCTGTTACGCAAAAAGAAAGCAGGAGGGATGGAGTAGGAAAGATAAGCAGTACAGCTAGATCACAATTATTGCAAGTTCAAATAGTGCCATATTCAATTTAGCCCAACTATATCTGTAAATCATCCACTTAGTGAAATGGGCAGCGTCTAAACTTGGTAAGTAAAATGCATTGATACCAGGTTACATTTAACACAAGGCAAAATTCAATTATTGTGAGGCTAGCACACCTGCAGTTGCTGTTGGGGTTTTCAGACGCTAATTGTCACGTTTGCAAAATGGAGAGGAAAAAGTGTTACGTTCAAGGAAAGCTCAAAAAAGTATGTTCATTTTGAAGCACTACAGCAGAATACAGGAGACAGCAGATACATTTTGGATATGGGTTTATTCTCTTGCTTGCCCTTTGTTCACTTGATTTATTTTAAAGATTTATGAAATCTATCTAGAAGATAAAAATAGTGGGGTTTTTTTCATTTTGCCTTCTATAATTACTTTATGACTTTGTTCAAAAATACATGTAAGTTGTAAGTACGTTCTTTTAATCTTTGTTATATTTCATTATTAAACATACAAAGATTTAATCATTTTTATTGCCTGTGTCCATCAGGTAAAAAACCAATTACCTTATTTTCCATAGAAGTATCATTTTGAATTGTGCAAATTTGAATTTTCATGGGATTCATTATCACACTAATCGAGGCTTACCTGTAGCCCAAAAGATGTTGCCCATTTGAAATGTGCCTGTAAGGAAGACAGCAATGTGGACCTCATGAGCTATTCATTTTTCGTTTAAGCGTGCAATACATATATAACAAAACACAAGACAAATGTCAAATGCAGGCTAAACCAGAAAAAGCAGAGGTTCAGTTTTTCAATCCAGTTTTCCCCACTGATTTTGTTTGTTGTAAGCTGGCTGGGATGCAACAACCATCATACGCTGGATGCCAAACATCCAAATTTTAATCATGTAATCATGGTAATATTGCAATGATTTTAAACGTGAGAAACAGCCACAAGTAACTTTTTTTCAGTGTCAGTGAAATGTCAAACAGTTGGTAAACAAATGGACTACCTGTAGAGCAGAGGTGATATTCAGCAGGTTCTGACCAGTTCTGGAGAACCGGTAGCAGAAATTTTGAATAGTTCGGAGAACCGGTAAATAGCACCTCTGACTGGCCCCACCCCCATCTATTCTCTGCCTCCCGAGTCCCAGCTGATCGGGAGGAAATGGGGATTTTGCAGTAACCTTCCCCTGCCACGCCCACCAAGCCATACCACGCCTACCAAGCCACGCCTACAGAACCAGTAGTAAAAAAATTTGAATCCCACCACTGCTGTAGAGGATTTTCTAGACATCTATGACAAATTTCGGAACCATGGCAATGGCACTTAAACTTATATACCGCTTCACAATGCTTTACAGCCCACTCTAAGCAGTTTACAGAGTCAGCCTATTGCCCCCAACGATCTGGGTCCTCAGTTTACCCACCTCGGAAGGATGGAAAGCTGAGTCAACCTTTAGCCTGTGGGACTCGAACCGCTAGCAGCTGGCAGTCAGCAGAAGTAGTCTGCACTACCACATTCTAACCACTGCACCACCACAGCTCTTTAATGTTTGTAACTTCCAACTTTACAGAGCTACTTCATTCATCCTTCATTTATTAATGGATCGTTGTTTATATTGCTCTCTCTTACAAATCTGTGATGCACCAGAAGCTCAACAGCCATCTTACTGTACAATATAAACAAGTGATGTCGATAAAAAATCATTAAGAATAGACTTTAAAATGGCCATCCTTGTTCCCCAGTGGACTTCAAAGGAAGGTTTTCGGATGCTTCTTAAAAGTCAAGAGTGGAGGTGCAAATTAATCTCCAGGGACTGCGTGTTCGATTGGATTTCAGGCTTTGTTTAATTACTGTTTAGTTTGTAATGTTTCAGGTTTTCTAGTACCAAGCAGGAAAAAGAAAATCAATCAACATTCACATTCATGTGGAAAATAAGTACAAATTTTATTTTCTCAACAGCAGTAAGTACTTTTTACAGCATACGTTTATTTAAATACAGAGGCATATTATGTATATTATGTAAGCTTTGAAAAACGGAATAGAGGAATGAATATTCACCTGCAGATGAAACTTCCTTTCAACAATTCTGAGAATGACCACAACTTCCTTTGTCTTAAGACTTACACCACACCACATTCAAAGAAATGAGATCTGAGATCAGAGGTGGGTTTCAGCAGATTCTGACCAGTTCTGGAGAACCGGTAGCGGAAATTTTGAGTAGTTTGGAGAACCGGTAGTAAAAATTTTGGCTGGCCCTGCCCCCATCTATTCTCTGCCTCCCGAGTCCCAGCTGATCGGGAGGAAATGGGGATTTTGCAGTAATCTTCCCTTGGAGTGGGGTGGGAATGGAGATTTTACAGTATCCTTCTCCTGCCACGCCCACCAAGCCATGCCCATAAAACTGGTAGTATAAAAATTTGAAACCCACCACTGTCTGAGATGATAACATATGTACCACTTCAGGCTTTTTCCCAAAGCACAAGTAGTCCTTGACTTACAACCATTTGTTTAGTGACCGTTGCAGCATCCCCATGGTCCATGTGATAAAAATTCAGGCACTTGGCAACTGGCATGTATTTATGACAGTTGCAGTGTCCCAGAGTTATGTGATTATCTTTTGCAGTCTTCTGTCAAAGCAAAGTCAGTGGGGAAGCCAGAGTCACTTAACCATCAGGTTACTAACTTGACAACTGCCATGATATCGCTTAACAACTGTGGCAGGAAAAGGTCCTAAAATGGGGCAAAATTCACTTAACAACTCTTGTGGAAATGTTGGGCTCACTTGTCAGTTGTATGTTAAGGACTACCTGCAAAGGAAAGGTATAGATTGGAGCTACGGTGTTTCTGCTAGACATTTCCCTTCAGGAATTACTTGTTAGCATGGCCACTATACGGCAGTAATATTCCTCACGCCTCACACTCTGATTGTCTTCATTGAGGCCAACTCAGCCTGCTTGGGTGTGACAGACAAACATCAATTTGGGGCATGAAATTACAGCTAGCTTTGCTCAGAAGAAGATGCAGTTTAAGCAGGGGTCTCCAACCTTGGCAACTTTAAGCCTGGTGGACTTCAACTCCCAGAATTCCCCAGCCAGCGAGTTGAAGTCCGCCAGGCTTAAAGTTGCCAAGGTTGGAGACCCCTGGCTTAGAGACAATGGAGATGCTTTAAATGTCATCCAGAACAGAAATGCCTTCGAAGTTCTTTCAGGAGGCAAAAAATTAGATTTTTGCAATGCAGCCTTAACCATCACGTGGAGGCAGGGCCGGATTTTCCTATAGGCTAACTAGGCTTCAGCCTAGGGCCTCAAGATCAAGAGGGGCCTACATTCAAATTATTAGCAAAATTAAAATTACACTTTCACTATAGGTGAAAGGGCCTCATAAGTGGAATAGCCTAGGGCCTCTTTTCATCTAAATCCGGCCCTGCGTGGAGGTTAAGGCTGCATTGCAAAAATCTAATTTTTTGCCTCCTGAAAGAACTTCGAAGGCATCTCCTCTGAGTTTTCCTAGATTAGTGCTTCTCAGCCTTAGCCATTTTCAGATGTGTTGAAGTCCACACACGTCTGAAAGTTGGCAAGATTGGAAAAAAAAGTATTCTCCATCCATCTCTAAGGGGCAACATTCCAAATTGCGTGGTTTCCGGTTCAATTATCTGCCAGCCCCTGAGCAGAAACTTTGGATTCAAGAATGTACTATTTACAGACCTATTAAAAGTGCATTGATGTCCCTTCAGGAAGGAACATTAGCATTTCAAAAGCCAATTATGGCTTAGTATATTTCCCACAAGGTCACCAATATGAGAAACTGTGATTATCCCGTTATCCAGAAATCACTGTTAAATGTAATCTTTTAATAGCAGTAATCCTGGTTTTCCCATTATTTGCTTTTCTAAATCCAGAATATAAAACGAGAAATTAGGTGGGAGAACACCTTTTCACAGGGTTGCAGGTCAGCGAGAGAGGGAAGAAAAACATATGCAAGCATAGTTAATATTTCTTTTATACTTTAAAGCCAAAAAACCCTTCTGTGCGCTTCCAAAATCCAGATTGACATCTTTCAGGGTTAAATACTTGGGCACAACCCAATTAATTAAGGCAAAATGAAAAAAGGGCTTAAGAAGATAAAGAAACACAGGGACCGCTGTCGCCTAAAAAGTATCTACATTTTCTGAGATTTTCCCCGATAGTAAATAGGGGGGGAAAAAATTGCTCATCAGCCCTGCCAGCATGAGTGGTGACACTGATCATTTTGCTGCAGTTCTGGAAAAGTTCATTTTTTTAGGAAGGTTATCTAACAGCTGCTTTATATTCCTTTGGAAAGAAATACAAGTAGTCCTTGATTTATGGCCACCATTGGGGCAAGCCAGAATTTCTGTTGCTAAGCAAGGCAATTGTTAAGTGAGCTGTGCCTTATTTTATGACATTTTTGTCACAGTTGTTAAGCGGATCCCTGAAGTTGTAAAGTAAATCATGTGGTCGTTAAACAAATCTGGTTTCCCTCCCACCGACTGCTTGTTGGAAGCCACCTGGGAAGCTGCCACTGTCTGTTGCAGTCCGCCAGCAGCCTGCAGAGCTGGCAGTGGAGTCGGACAGTGAGGAGGCTAGGGAGGAACATGGGCCAGTCCTGGAGTCTGGGGAAGGCCCGGACAAGAACTCTGCATTGGAGGCAGAGATGGGGCCAGGGCCATCTGGGAGTGATGCGTGGACTCCAGAGCCCCCAGAGTCGGACAATAGAGAGGCAGAGGAACAGGAGGAGCCTGTTCCTAATGCATGCGTGCGCAGAGCTGCCAGAAGGCAAGAGCAGCTAAAGCAAAAGGGACGACTCAGGAGTAAAGCAAGAAGATGATTGGCCCCTCCCATAAGGCTTAAAAGAAAAACAAAGGCACTTGGGGCCTTTTAGCAGGAAAGCAACGTTGCTAACTCTGTTTCCAGTTGGCATCTCTTGTTTGTTTCTGAACTTCGTGGGGCTTTGCCAAGTAAGGTCTTTGGTCAAAGAAGATAAAGGTTGGTGATTATCCCGAAGGATGTCTTCCGAAGGACTTGTTTTGCAACTAATTGGGACTCAGCTGGGAATGAACGTAATTCTCCTCTGTTACAATAAAATAGGTTTGTTTGGGACTAATTCTGTCTTGTAATGACTCAGTAAGCCTAGGTCACAACACTGTCATAAACACAAGCCCGGTTTTGATCAGGTGACCGTGGGGATGCTGCAATGATCATTAAGTGTAAAGACCGATCATAAGTCGCAACTTCAAACAGTCACTAAACAAATGGTCACATGTTGAGGACTACCTGCTTTATTTTCGCTCAGTTTTGCTTCTTTTTGTCCCATTTCCAAAATGCCAAGTGTGCCGGCTACGATCTCAACTTGGTGGTGGAAGAAACAAAGACAAAATCCTGCTTTTGAAAACTTGGAATGGCAGTAGGTTCTTTTCCATAGCTGTCCCTTATCGCAACTGCCCCCCCCCAGCTCCTCTCTCTCAAACATACAAATTCTCTCTTGTGTTTCTGCCTTTCACAGCATCACACAACTGCCTTCCATTCTCTCCACCACCAACCTCCTGGATCAGACCATCCATTCAGGTATGAGGTGAAAAGCAATTCCGCAAAATACTTCCAGTTCGTCGAAGGTGCGCTCATCTCTCTCTCTCTATATATATAAATATATATATATTTAATTAATTAAAATGCAAATCTGCTTATAAAATGTAATCGCATCTTTATAAAAAAGGACACAAAAGGGAAATCATTGTCACTTTTGCAAGGCTGCAGAGTAGCAGCCTTGTATCCGAATGCCACTTCCTTCCTCCAATTTCTCAACACTTGGAAAATTAGTGTGTCATGATAAATGGCTAACTCGAAAGCATCTTCCCATCATGTACATGTTTAACTACCACTTGTTCAACAACCTTTTGAACTTATGATCATGCTGAATAAATGGTAGAAATGACCAGTCCAGAGGTGGGTTTCAGCAGGTTCTGACCAGTTCTGGAGAACCGGTAGAGGAAATTGTGAGTAGTTCGGAGAACCGGTAGTAAAAATTCCGACCGGCCCCACCCCCATCTATTCTCTGCCTCCCAAGCCCCAGCTGATCGGGAGGAAATGGGGATTTTGCAGTAACCTTCCCCTGGATTGGGGAGGGAATGGAGATTTTACAGTATCCTTCCCAGTGGTGGGTTGCCCCCAGTTCGCACCGGTGCTATAGAACTGGTAGTAAAACCGGCAGGAGGCTCCACCCACCGACCCTGACATCATCAAAATGCTTCTCTGCATGCGCAGAAGAGCGCAAGCATGCGGTCCTGCTGCGAACCGGTAGTAAATGTAAGTAGAACCCATCCCTGATCCTTCTCCTTCCATGCCCAAGCCACACCCACCAAGCCATGCCACGCCCATCAAGCCACACCCACAGAACCAGTAGTAAAAAAATTTGAAACCCACCACTGTACCAGTTCTCATACTTATGTCGGTCTCAGTGTTGCATTTGCTTAACAACAGCGACCAGAAGTGCTGGAATTTCCATCGCTAAGTGACAAGGTCACTTGGTGTGACACTTTATAAACACCATCACTTAACAACAGAAATACCAGCCCCAATTACCATTACTAAGTATGGACTACCTGTATATTAAGAAAGAATTTCTTTAAAACTATTTCATTGTGTAACTCATGTGCCTAGGGTCTAATATAGGATTTCCCAACCTTTGCCATTTCCAGGTATATGGACTTCAACTCCCAGAATTCCACAGCCAGCATAGATATTGCTGAGAATCCTGGGAGTTGATGTCCATTCATCTTCAATTTACCAAAGTTGAGAAACACTGGTTCTAAAACTTCAGCTGAATATAAGCCTATGATTTAAGTGAAAACGCAACCAGGGTAAACACCATGCTCTGAATTTTGTTTTAGTTCAACTCACAGTCAGTTGAAAACTGTGTGCCATTAGCTGGCAAGAGGATTCAGACCAGATTCCAAGGAATGTAGAAGAGGGGCAATGAGTGCCTTATGAAAGCATGCTGAGGTTTGACAGACTCCTTGAAGACATGACAGGATAGCCAATGCGCTTCCAGTGATTTCTTAAAGGAGAAGAAGGAATTACTCCCTTAGAAAAAACCCCGCTGATAATCATAAGAACCGAGTCCTTGGTATCATAAATTCTACTAAGATAAAAGTTCCCCCAGTCACTTTGGTGGGAAGGTAACAGTATTCCATGTGCCTTTGGGATGTAGCCATGCTGGCCACATGATCACAGAAATTGTCTTTGGACAACGCTAGCTCCCTCGGCCAAGAAATGGAGATGAGCACCAGAAAAGACTGACAGGAAAACCTTTTACCTCCTCCTGGAAGTAATACAGGGGTCGGCTGCTGGGGTTCACAGGGGTTCGGGAGAACCTCTAGCTAAGATTCTGTGCAGTTCGGAGAACCCCTGAATCCCACCCCTGGCTGGCCCCTCCCACCCCACCCCGCCCCTCCCAGGAGTCCCCACACGGCCGGTTTTGGATGCAGGTAAGTGCAGGGTGCGCACAGAGGCTCGGGGAGGGTGAAAAATGGGCCTACCGGACATTTGGGAAGTTCGGAGCTATTTCCGGCCTCCAGAGGGCCTCCGCAACCTGAGGAGACTGTTTTCACCCTCCCGGAGGTTCAAGGAAAACTTCCGGAGCCCAGGGAGCGAAACACCTCCCCCCCCCCATGGTGCAGGAAGCTGATTAGGCCACGCCCACCATGGCCACACCCATCCAGCAACCGGGCAGAGAAACCCTTGCTAAAATTTTTGAAGCCCACCCCTGAAGTAATATAGTGAAACAAGACTGAAAGCTGACCTGGGGAACAGATTGTTATCAGACATGTTGAGATAAGGAAGAGTGTTAATTACTCCTACGAGTCACATTCACAGCTCCCCCAACGCTACCTGAACAAAGCCCAGTTTGGTACCATTTTCTGGATCCCACAATTCTTATTTTTGGCTGGTTGCCTTCAGCCTTTGGTCAGACGTTATCTGGGAGGTGTTGGGGTTTCTGTGGCTATGGGACGCCATCAACTGGATTAGGATGCCAGGAACTGTTGGCTTTCCCATCTTTTATAAGACAATGTCCCAAGCTTGTAGCATCCTACTTATGTGAAGTAAGCTTAAAGTCAGAGTTGCTCAAGGTAACAATTAGCTGCTCTCTAATATTGTGGTTGAGAAATATAAAAGCAAGCTGTCTGTTAAGATGCAGAAACAGTAGGAAAAAGAAGTGATGGATTTGAACTACAAAGGATGTAAGAAGAGACTCACTCCGATGATGACCAAGGAATGTTCAAATGGTTTGAATGACTTCATTCTTGAATCCAAGAATGGATTTATCTTGCCATGTCTAATAGCTTTATCTTGCCATGTCTAATAGCTGGGTAGCTACTATCAGTTCTGTTCTAAGGAGTCGAACATTATTTTTCCAGTCCACTCCAGCTAGTTCAGCTCTTCTAAAATAAAAATATCTGAAAGTCCTGATATAGCTAAGGAGATCCTGCGTCCTTCACAAAACACAACTGTCATGACTGCTTGTCATAGGCAATCCCAAGGGGGAAACTGTCCAATGTATAATGTTAAGCTACATGATGCTACATCATCTCCATAATAGATGCAAATCTGAAAGCGTCTTGAATAAATCTACTCAAGGAGCACCTTGTCATCTCCATAAAAGCTAAAACCCAAAAAGATCATACATAAAAAGCTGTATTAAAAGTATCTCAAACAACCTCCCCAATCTGGCATCCACCAGGTAACGCTTCCTATAGTCCTAATATATCTGGAAGACACTTGAGGGGGGAAAAGCTGAAGTAAAACTTTGGCCAAAAGTTGAAGGGCATCAACATGACCCCTGCCTAAACCAAATCAAGGCTTTGGGGGCCTCTTCTCTTTTCATTAACCCTTTCCAGTTACAGTCAGCAGAATACAGTGCATCAGGTTCTTAGAGGTTATCTTACTTGAAGAGAAAAAAGCTTAACAAGAAAAAAAAAAAGATGTCAGAACTCGAAGAGTTGGTCATCTTTTTCGGTCTCTGTCGTGGAATCTATTTTGTCCCAGTCAACTGGCGAGAGGATTTGAGCACTTTGGATGTCTTGAGGTGTCAGGCTGATGTCAAGGACTTGTGGATTGGTTCGGGACTGTGCCAGCCTGGAATGACAAGGCAAGACAAAAAGGTGAAGAAAGGAAGATGTTAGTGCTGCCAAGGAAGAGAAGGAAGACGTAGCTTTGTCTTACAGCCAGGGTATACTTTAGAACAGGGGTCTCCAACCTTGGCAACTTTAAGGCTTGTGGACTTCAACTTCCAGAATTCCTCAGCCAGCTTTGCTTTAATCTAGAATTAAATTCCAGGAAAGAAAAAAAAAGTAGCTGACAAGGGAAGATGGCTAATCATCTTGTTAGGCTGGCAAATCTGGTTCTTCTATGGGAAGGGCAATCTTTAGTAAAAAAGTGAAAGATTTTTACAATATGAAAAGAAGCCAGAGAATGTCTATGTTGGGCAGGGTTCATTTCTCCAACATGATCAGTTCTCAGAGTTTAAACTCAGTTCACCAAAAGGTATTCTTAGGAAAATCTGGATTCTGTTTAAAAAAAAAATTGTCAGGAGAAAAAAAATGCCTCAGGCAAATTGTGAATTAAAATGCTCGTTCGATGCTCATCCCAACAGGCATCGCGATTTTAATATATTAAAAAAAAAAAACCTGAAGTCCAATGTGCCAAGCTTAACAGTTTTTCCAAAGTATCAAAATCAGAAACGATGCTGCTGAAATAATCCCCCAAAACGAGACCTTGAGTGAAATGGAACAATTCACTCATGCCCATTTCGTCCATTTGAAAACCCTCGTTGTGCCTCTGTGCTAAGTATGGACAGCAGAGGGAGCAGTTGGTCCAAAGCCACCACCAGATGACCTCATGAGAAACAGGGGTGTGTTCCTCATGTGCTTATAATGTCACGTGGGAGGATCTGTGAGAACATCTTCCCTGCCTCGAAGGACGATCCTCAACGGAAACTTTCCTGCAAGCCCATGAAGAAAGAAGGGCAAATCTTGGAAAGCCTTTTAGCACTTTCTCAGCCTAGTAGACCTGGGAAAGACACAACTCTGAAGGCATCTCCATATACGTACCATCCAACGCTCTGCATGCCTTGTGCAAAAAAATAAATGGCCCTTTGCCAAAAGATGAGAAGGAACTACCGTATTTTTCGGAGTATAAGACGCACCTTTCCCCCCCCAAAAAAGAGGGTGAAAATCTGGGTGCGTTTTATACTCCGAATGTAGCCCCGCCCGGCTTCTCAAATGGAGATTTCAGAGGCTGAAAAAAGCATAAGAAACGAAGCTTAAGAAAAGAAGCCCCCAAACAGAGCTTCAGAAAAAAAAGCCCCCAAACAGAGCTTCAGGGGCTTTTTTTTCTGAAGCTCTGTTTTGGAGGCTTTCAGAGGCAGGTAAAAAAGTTTTTTTCTGAAATGGAGTTTCAGAGGCAGGAAAAAAACCAAAAAAAAAAAAAAAAAGGCAAGGCACAGAGGTCACAACCAAGGAACCTGTTGCTAAAATTCACCTCTGGGAACAGCTGATTGGGGGTATTCTGGGAGGTAGATCCACCTGCCAATCAGCTTTTTTCTTATTTTCCTCCCCAAAAACTAAGCTGCATTTTATACTCCGAAAAATACGGTACTCAGACCACAAAATATTATAGGCAGAAAGGTGTGTGATATTACAGGGTGGAGTACCAGGAAAAGAACACACCGCATTTCTATTTCAGCCAGAGGTGTCCAACCTCGGCAAGCTTTAAGACTTGTGGATTTCAACTCCCAGAATTCTCCAGCCAGCCATGATTATAATCAGCTCCTGATTCTAGTAAAAAGCCAGGTGTCATCAGCTTGGAAGCGCCTGATTAAAAAGCATGATTCAGGAAGCTGAAAAGATTACATTTCCTCGGTTAAGAAGCTTTTCCTTTGACCCAGAAGGAAAGCAAGCTTTTGCTAGGAAGCAGATGGCGGTGACGTGTTACAGTTGCAACTGATACACATATTAGAATTTGGGGGTAATTGTGCGCCCCTAATAAGTATTTCAATTCAGGCATACGTGTCTGTTTAAATCAGGGGTTGCAAGAACGATCATAAAACGGGGGGAAATGCACTTATCTGTCTTGCTTAGCAACGGAGATTTTGGACTCACTTGTGGTCATAAGTCAAGGATTACCTGTACAACTTTTGACTGCAAGCTAGGGTGAAACCCATTAAGCAGTTGATTAGCTTCCTTTACTCCAGGGGTGAAATCCAGCAGGTTCTGACAGGTTCTGGAGAACCGGTAGCGGAAATTTTGAGCAGTTCGAAGAAACGGCAAATATCACCTCTGGATGGCCCCGGAGTGGGAAGGGAATGGGGATTTTGCAGTATCCTTTCCCTGGAGTGGGGTGGGAATGGAGATTTTGCAGTATCCTTCCCCCAGGAGTGGGGTGGGAATGGAGATTTTGCAGTATCCTTCCCCCAAGAGTGGGGAGGGAATGGAGATTTTGCAGTATGCTTCCCTGCCATGCCTACCAAGCTACACCACGCCCACCAAGCTACGCCCACAGAACCAGTAGTAAAAAGAAATTGGATTTCACAACTGCTCATGACAGTTTAAACTCATGACAGTTTAAACCTGCTGCTGCCGACTGGAGAATTCTGGGAGTTGAAGTCCACCTGTCTAAAAGTTACTAAAGTTGAGGAACATTGACATACCCATTAAATGTATTGCATGCACTTTCTTACATGTGCATATGTGACACCGTAAGACAGGGTACTCAAGTGGCTTTGTGGGCAAGGAAGCCTTCCTTCAGCGTTCCTGGCCATCACCTAGATAGAATCTCAAAATTCCTGAGTTGACTTGTACTCGACAGTTGCCAAGGTTTGGGGGACAGTAGCTGATTAGGGATGTCCATAAAAGTCAGTGTTATTTATGGAATCTTTTCTCATTGCATTTTTACAGGTCGGAAAGCAGAGTTGGACCTGTGAAGTTTTCCACCTTAGGTGCCAAAACAGTTTGCTTGGCTCTAGGTGTTGTGAACTTTGATGAGACGAGGCAAATACGTGAACTGGCAGTGTGGACTCAGAAGAATTATGTTTTCTCTATTATGCTTATTTATTCCTAAGGTTGGTCGGTCCCATTCTCATGCTCGTAAAATCAGGTCAGACATGTAATTGACCCCCTTTACAAGCATGACTTATGACTCTTATGGTCGTAACTTGAAGACTACCTGTTGTGGTCCGCCAGCAGCCTGCGGAGCTGGCAGCGGAGTCGGATAGTGAGGAGGCTGAGGAAGAACATGGGCCAGTCCTGGAGTCAGGGGAAGGCCCGGATGAGGGCTCTGCGTCGGAGGCAGAGAGGGGGCCAGGACCATTGGTGAGTGATGTGCGGACTCCGGAGCCTCCAGAGGCTGACAGTAGAGAGGCAGAAGAACAGGAGGAGCCTGTTCCTAGTGCATGTATGAGAAGAGCTGCCAGAAGGCAAGAGCAGTTAAAGCAAAGAGGACGACTCGGGAATAGGGTCAAGAGATGATTGACCCCTCCCATAAGGCTTAAAAGACCAGCAACGGCTCTTGGGCTCTTTGTCGGAAAACAACGTTGATAATCTTGCTGCACTTATCTCTTGTCGGCATCTTCTGCTTCTGAACTTTTGCCAAGAGAAGCCTTTGGCAGTTTGCCTAATTATACCAAGGTTGGTGATTAGACTGAAGAATTTGTGTTATGAAGACTTTGTTTTGATTTAGTTTGGACTACACTGAGAATGAGTTAATTCTCAGCTGTTCTAATAAAGTCTGTTTGTTTTGGAACTGTTTGCGTCAGCTACTGCCTGCTTGGGCCTGGGTCACAACACTACCTGTATGAATTTAAAAGCTTGGGGGTAAGTTGTTCCACAAGTTTGGGGCCACCACCAAGAAGGCATTTATAGGTATTATTTGGGAAATTCCATGATAAGCCAGGAATGAGACCAAAAATGAATCATGAAGAATGTAGAAAGATCTGGCATGGTCATACTCCACTCAGTATCAAGGATGCAGCTGTAGAGTTGGTCAACAGTATTAAGTATCCGGGGGTGCAGATAACTAACAATCTGAACTGGTCTCTCCACATGCCATCCTTAGTGAAGCATGCAAACCAGCATCTGCATTTCCTGCATCGGATGAGGAGAGCACATTTACGGAGGTACGATTGAGTGTGTTTTAACATCACTGTTTGGCTTGATGGAGCAGTGCCTCAGATAGAAAGTCCATACAGAGAGTGGTAAGGACAGCCGAGAAGATTATAGGAAGCTCGTTTCCCGTCAATCAGGATACTGTTTATAAGCGCTATGTGCTTAGAACTCAAAGCATTGTTAGAGACCTCACACACCCACTTCACCATCTGCTTCTGTTGCTCCCCTCTGGGAGGAGGTTTTGAAGTATTTCTAGCAGGACTTCCAGATTCTGTAACGGCTTTGTTCCCTAAGTCATCCGTCTGGTAAACTTGCAAGATTCGCTTTTCTTGCCATGTACATATATACATCCAGACTAGACTGTGTTGTTTCTCCGTGTCATATAATATATGTGGGTACATGCATAATTTTGTATTTATTTATTTATTTTATTTTATTTATTTATCTTGTCATGTTTATGTAGTGTATATTAGAGGTGGAGACCCTTTGAGAGCTGTATGCAACGAAATTTCATTTTAATATATGCCGATTAGCGTACATTCAAAGTGACAATAAAGTTATTCTAAGTCTCTATGTAAGTCTTCCAAAAGCCTATTTGCGGGCTGTGTGAAATGACCCTACAAATGCATCCAGTTTATTAATGTCAGGTTTACTGCCTTTGAAATCTGGCCACCGGATGGCTTTATGGGATTTTTCCTGGTATTTTGTCAATACTTCACCTGACAAAGAATTTTAGAGAACCTAAAAGTGTGCACATTTTTTTCAGTGTATGCTGCTATGTGATCACTGATTAAATTTTCTCCCCAGTTCCTCCTTTTGTAGGAGTTGAAGCCGAGACTCAAACTGGCTACCCACCATTTCAGAAGGCGAGAGCTTCCAGTTTCAGCAACCTCCATTTTATAAGTATTCGCCAAGAGGCTGACACGTTTAAGGGATTTAATCCCCACCTGTACATACAAATTAGCTCCTGCCCTAAGAAGTTATCAAAATATTTGACTTATCCAAGCAGCCGAATCCCTTGTTCAATTAGTCAAACAGACCACCAATGAAGGGTTGGGCTACTGTTGACAGTTTAGCTTAAGAGAAAGAGAAGGAAAGGTTCATTAATCAAATCTATTTCTTGGTCAAGCCCCTAGCAGAAAGATGCTCCTGGAAGATTTGATCATAATTACCTTGAAAATGCTTCATCCAGTTCGTCATTCATTGCCTTTGTTATAAAAAAGAAAGGGGAGGGGAGAAATAAAACTATAAATCTGACTGAAATGAAAAATTATTCAAATATCACATAGGCTTAACCAAGTGCTTTTTCTATTGTTATTTGCAATTCCTTCTTTAAAAGGGAACGGAGCTAGCTATGGCTTAAAATATTAGTAGATTTTTACTAGCTGGTTCTAAGGTCAATAGCCCACCCTTCTTTGTTAGATGACAAGAGGACAACACAGCATATTCATGCTCACAGAGAAGGCATCTGACAAGGTAAACCTGAACCTCTCCAACCAACTTCTGTCCATCTGCTTGTTTTCCATAGAAGTTGAAGAAGATGGGGTGGGGAAACCACCTGCTTAGTTCCAACTCTCCCATGCATGGTAGCCCCTTTGGCGCCAAAAGCTACAAAGCAACTTTAGGGAAACTTGCTGAAGTTCTTCAGGGAACTGATGACCTCTCTTCTGCATTGGACCAATCGAGGTAAATTGCAATTTGGTGTGAGATAAAACTGTCTAATAATATAAGCCAGTGGTTCTCAAATGTGCAACTTTAAGATGTGAGGACTTCAACTCCCAGAATTCTGGGAGTTGAAATCCACACATCTTAAAAGGGCCAATGTTGAAAAAATACTGATATAAGCAGTTGGACAGAGGAACCAATTTCCCAGAGATGGGTTCAAATGGAATCAAGGGTAGCCATTTGTTTTGGATCCGTCCTTGTTATACTTGCATTGAGCAGGGGTTGGTCTTGATGGCTTGAGAGATCCCTTCTAAGTCTCAGTGATTCTAACAGTGCAAAAGAAAAATGATATGCTATTCTTCATTAAAGATCTTCAAATTCCTCATAGGAGATGCTCTTAGCTCTGGATTCCCTGATCATCACAGATCAGATCGCCTAAAAAAATTTCCTTCTCCTGTGGGCTTTTTAATCTCTGGAGTCCACCCGTTAATAAATGCAGAGAAATTGAAAGCAACAACCATGCCGAGACTATCAGAGAGGTGGGGGAACCTCGCTTGCTCCAGGAATGCCCAAATTACAATGAGTAGCTTCTCCTCTCCTTAGTCGTGCTGACTGGTGCTCATGCAGTTGTCTATGTCAACCCTGAAGATGACCTGACTGAAGCCATTTTCTCCATTTCAGTGTTGCCACACTGGAGCTGAGGGATAGGGAGGAGAGAATTGAGATAGAGGGGAACATATAGCCAAAACAACATATTTTCTCTTGGGAAGCAAGGACATTCTCACACCTGGTCGGAAGAAGGCGGAGTGATGCCACCCGGCTGCCAGCCCGTTCTGTGATTGAACCATGTGACTGACAGTTTTGAGAAAGTGGGAAAACTTTTACTTTTAATTAGATGATAACCGCAGGAGACCTCAGAGTCGCTTTTTACCAGATATGTGCCAATATGATAATTCCAAATAAAAGTATTCTTTGAGAAATCTACATGCCTCGGAGTTTTGCTTGCTATGGATTTATTACTTGGAACCCTGACAGTCTATTTGCCACAAGGAGAAAGTCACTGTCTGTGGAGATTCTCAATCATCCAGGTCAGGGTTGTCCTAAAAGTGCTTTTCCAAATGAAACTGGACTTTCTCATTTTTTTCTCTTGAAAATGTTTTGCTTCTCATCCAAGAAGCTTTTTCAGTTCTGGTGTTCTGGTGACCTAGGCTTCCTGATACAGTAAAAACACACAATTAACGTGTTTCCTCAAAAATAAGACCCTGTCTTATATTTTTTTTGAACCCTGAAATAAGCGCTTGGTCTTATTGCCATGCGCTCAAAAGCCCAATTGGGCTTATTATCAGGGGGTGTCTTATTTTGGGGGAAACAGGGTAGTCCCAAAAACCTCTTTTTATTTCAACGGCTGTGAATTCTGTTCATTCACACCCTGTTCATTCTCAATCTGTTCATTCACAGATGAGTCCCAAATAGTTGTAAACAGTCTGACAGAACTCTGCCACAGTCCTTCGGGATAAGGCTGATAAGCACCCACCTTTATCTCCCTTGACAGGCTGCCAAGACCTAATTGGCAATTAACTTTGCAAGGCCACATGGAACACAGAGTCAAAACGGAGCTGCAGAATTGAAACCGGCCAGCACGAACAAAGTTGCTTCCTGCAAAGGCCCACGTGCCTTTGCTCCTCCTTTATGTCTTATGGGAGGGGCCAATCATCTCCAAGCCCTACACCCTAGTCGTCCCTTTTGTTTTAACTGTTCTTGCCTACTGGCAGCTCTGTGCATGCACGCACTGGGAACAGGCTCCCCTGTTCCTCTGCCTTGCTGATGTCCAACTCTGGAGGCTCTGGAGGAAGCACATAACTCCCAGATGGCCCTGGCTCCATCTCTGCCTCCGATGCAGAGCCCTCGTCTGAGCCTTCCCTAGACTCCAGGACTGGCCCATATTCCTCCCCAGCCTCCTCACTGTCCGACTCTGTGGCCAGCTCTGCAGGCCACTGGTGGACCACAGCATCTGGCTGAAGAATTGAAAAAGCTTTTTGGATGAGAAGCATTAAAAACAAAACAAAACAAAAAAAACCCTGAGACAGTCCATTTGCAGTTTGAAAAGCACCTTTGGGGGCGAGAAAGCCCCACGACCACCAAAAAAGTTCTCCTCCCTTACACTTAAGCCCCCTAGAGAGAGGACATGGCACATGACAAGCCTACTGTACTTGTGAATTGTTGAATTTTAGGTATTCGGTGTTTGACCCTGCCTTTTCCTGCCATCTACAGTGTAGATATGCAAACAAGCAAGGAAAAGATATGATGCAGTTATACAAGGAAACTACCTGGACTTGACCATTAATGGAGAAATAAGACAATCCTGAAGAATCAGATGGGAAAAAAGAGAAGAGGCAATCTGTCAGGCAGCCTGCCAAGCGAGGAAAGGTAATCCTTGACTTACAACCATTCAGTAAGTGACTGTTCCAAGCTACGATGGCACTGAAAGAAGTGACTTGTAATTGGTACTCGCATTTACGACTGTCACAGCATCCCCACCATCACGTGATCAAAATTCAGACGTTTGGTAGTCAGTATGTATTTATAATGGTTGCAGCATCCTGGGGGTCACGTGATTCCCATTTGTGACCTCCCCAGCCAGCTTCCAATGAGCCAGATCGATGGAGGAAGCCAGGTTTGCTCAATGACTGCCTGATTCTCATAACTGCAGTGACTTGCTTTACAGGCAAGAAAGGTTGTAAAATCAGGCAAGACTCATTAACTGCCTTGCTTTGTGACGGAAATTCTGTTCCCAATGGTGCTCGTAAGTCAAGGACTACCTGCAGTGACCCACAGAATGCTAACCTAGGCCACTGTAGTTATGGGAAAGGATTGGCGGTTTCACAACTCTGCCACAGTGTGATGCCACAGCCTGATCTCTCCCTACCCTTGACTTGCTCTATTAAGAAGGTAAAGGTTTCCCTCGCAAATATGTGCTAGTCATTCCTGACTCTAGGGGGCGGTGCTCATCTCCGTTTCAAAGCTGAAGAGCCAGCGCTGTCCAAAGAGGTCTCCGTGGTCATGTGGCCGGCATGACTCAACACCAAAGGCACACAGAACGCTGTTACCTTCCCACCAAAGGTGGTCCCGATTTTTCTACTTGTATTTTTTTACGTGCTTTCGAACTGCTAGCTTGGCAGAAGCTGGGAGAAGTAACGGGAGCTCACCCCGTTACGCGGCACTAGGGATTCGAACCGCTGAACTGCCAATCTTTCGATTGACAAGCTCAGTGTCTTAGCCACTGAGCCACCCTGTCCCTATTTGCTCTATTACTGGGAGGGGGGAAAAACAACCCTGAAAATTGAAGCCACTTTTTTTTCCTTTTCTTTGATCAGAAAAGATTGGGGTGTCTGAGCTGTAAAGCAAAGTGCAGAAGAGGCAGGAAATGTGCCTCAACTTGATGGAGCAGCCTAGGGCAAACAATAAAACATACTGTATAGATCTCCAGATCACACACAAACACACACACACAAAAGGCAATTTGGCTCTCATTCCATCAGCAAAGTGGAAAGGTTCTTTCAGAAGATGCCCTGTAACTCAATAGCAAGTTACAGTTCTTTTCCGATGTACCTATTGTGCAAAGCTGTGGCTTATTTTAATTACAGTTTATTGAAGAAAGCACAGGTGATTTAAGACCGCACAACGCACTACGTCATAATCCATCCCAGGCAAACCGCACTGAACAGTGATCAACAACACACCGAGCCGAAAATCAGGCAAGCCACACTAGAGTGGGATGTGAAGCACATACTTGCTAAATGAGATCTTTGCCAAGATCACCCAGGGCTTCCCACACACACTTACCCACACATTGTTGTTTTCTGACGAAGGGGACCCAAAGATTTGGCCATCCGTGTGCACAGAATTTGTGTTCAAAGGAGTTTTGGTTACATTTTCCAAGTCTAGCAGGTTTTCTACGGTGACTGCTGGGTGTGGAAAGGAAAAAATAAATAAGGATGAGACAGAAGAACAAGAATGAGAAATAAGAATACAGGTAAGCCCTCAATTTACGACCACAATTGAGCCCAACGTTTATGTTAAGTGAGAAACGTGAGTTTTGCCTCATTTTATGACTTTTCTTGCTACATTTGCCAAGTGACTCACTGCAGTTGCTAAATTAGTAATATGGTTGTTGAGTGGATCTGGTTTCCCCATTGACTTTGCTTGTCAGAAGGTTGCAAAAGGAAATCAAAAGACCCCGGGACACTGCAGCCGTCATAAGTATGAGTCAATTGTCAAGCATCCAAATGTAAATCACATGACCATGGGGATGCTACAACGGTCATAAGTGTGAAAAATGTTCATAAGTCACTTTTTTCAGTGCCATTGTAACTTCAAATGGTCACTAAACAAACAGTTGTAAGTCAAGGACTACCTGCAAGAGCCATGGTTAGAATGCAGTACTGCAGGCTAATTCTGCTGACTGCTGACTGCCAGAAGTTCGGCAGTTCAAGTCTCATCGAGTCAAGGTTGACTCAGCCTTCCATCCTTCTGAGGTCAGTAAAATGAGCCGAGGTGGCGCAGTGGTTAGAGTGCAGTACTGCAGCTACTTCAGCTGACTGCTAGTTCAGCAGATCAGCGGATCAAATCTCACCGGCTCAAGGTTGACTCAACCTTCCATCCTTCCGAGGTGAGTAAAATGAGGACCCAGATTGTTGGGGGCAATATGCTATTTAGTATACTGTCTTTGGTGTAAGCCGCCCAGAGTCCTCGGAGAGTGGGCGGCATAAAAATATGACAAATAAATAAATAAATAAATAAATAAATAAGGACCCAGATTGTTGGGGGCAATAGGCTGACTCTGTAAACTGCTTAGAGAGGGCTGTAAAGCACTGTGGAGCGGTATATAAGTCTAAACAGTATATAAGTCAACAATATTTCTATTGTTATTGCTATTGCTATGTCTCCCCTCCTTTCCTTGGTCCTGGTGGCGCAGTGGTTAAAATGCAACGTTGCAGGCAAACTCTGCCCACAGCCTGGAGTTCAATCCTGACTGGCTCAAAGTGGGCTCAGCCTTCCATCCTTCTGAGGTCGGTAAAATGAGGACCCAAATTGTCAGGGGCAAGATGCTGACTCTGTAAACCGCTTAGAGAGGGCTGTAAAAGCACTATGAAGCGGTATATAAGTCTAAATGCTATTGCTAATGATGAAGTTTAGGAGAGAAAAGGATTAAGTTAAGGTTTTCTTTCCAACCTGAGGTGGGATGCAAAGTTGCATCGAAAGTTGCAGAATTCTCTTGAATTTTCCAGAAAGGAGAAAAAAAAACCCACAGACTCACAACAATACCTGTCCATCTGGTAGGCTGAGCTAGCCCCAATTTTTTTGCAAGAGTTTTGTAGAAAACTGCAGAAAAGCTTCTTCTGTGAACTGACGAATGTGGACCGGTAACCTTTTCAAAGCCCTTCATTCTCCACTGATAGTTGCTCTTTCTTACGATTGATGACCGAGAAATAAAGCAGACCTCTTCTCTTGCCCTATACCTGCTTCCACCACCCCCCCCAAGGATCTCAAGGGCCATAAACTAGTTCAAGAAGCTTGTTTCGACTGAAGCATAATTACAGGAAGCATGAACAATGTGTGTGTTCACATCAATGCAGAAAACTGTTTCCCAGATCATCTGCCTTTCCCATGCTGTAGTCGGGGTGGACTTCAAAAATTTTAGCAAGGGGTTCTCTGCCCAGTTGCTGGGTGGGCGTGGCCATGGTGGGTGTGGCCTAGTCAGCCTCCTGCACCACGGGGGGGTGTCGTTTTTGTTTTTTTTTAATTTGATTTATATGCCGCCCTTCTCCGAAGACTCAGGGCGGCTTACAATGTGCTCAGCAATAGCCTTCATACTTTTGTATATTTATACAAAGTCAGCTTATTGCCCCCACAAACTGGGTCCTCATTTCACCCACCTTAGAAAGGATGGAAGGCTGAGTCAACCTTGAGCCTTGGCGAGATTCGAACCCTGCAGTAATTGCAGGCAGCTGGTCTTAATAACCAGCTTAATAACAGGGTGCCTTAAACCCTTGTACTACCAAGGTTTTGCCCTCCCCGAGCTCCAGAGGCTTTTCTCGAGCCTCCGGGAGGGCAAAAACGGCCTCCCCAGGTTCCGGAGGCCCTCTGGAGGCCAAAAATGGGCCAGTTTCCAGCCTTCCTGAACTTCCGGTTTTTTCACCCTCCCCGAGCCTCCATGCACTTACCAAAATGGGCCATGTGGGGACTCCTGGGAGGGGTGGGATGGGTGGGGCCAGCCAGGAGTGGGATTTGGGGGTTGAATCTTAGCTAGAGGTTCTCCCGAACCTCTGCGAACCCCCAGCAGCCCACCCCTGGCTGTAGTCTAAATCAACTTTCCATGCTTAATTTCCACAGAAAGTGGTGGCAGACAGGGGTGAAGCTTGCCTGCAGGTTCTTGATACCGCTTAGAGCAGTGACAGTGAACCTATGTCATGCATGTCAAAGGTGACACACCACGCTGCTTTGGCTGACATTCCAGTGTTCACCAACATATGACCACAACTATTTGCGAAAGCACACCCCATTCTCATGTGATTTTTGGAGGCTGTGAAGCAATGGTGAAATCCTCCGCGGTTTGCCATCAGTTCGCTGCCAGCGCATGTGCAGTGTGCATGCACAGGCAGGATATCCTGTTTTCTAGTGAAACAGCTGATTGTCGGAAATAACTGCTATTTTTTTAAACTATTGTTTCACCCAAACTGGTAGCTTTTTTTTTACTAGCGGTTCCCACGAACCGGTGTGAACCGGTAGCATTTCACCCCTGCTATGAAGGCAGAGTGAGATTGGAGTTTCCTCTTGTGCATTAGATGAACAAAAAAGGAGGTAGTAGAAGACTGCAATAAGTCATTCTTTTAATGATAAGACTTTTTTTTAAAAAAATAGAAATTCAGGAACAGTGAAAGCTGTCCTGGTCCACCTACATAGCTCAATGTTGTTTGTTTGCTCTCCAAGAATCTACTGCAAGATCTTCTTCAGTTCTATGAGGAGAGGTTGACATCTTAGCTAGGCTTTCTTTGCATGGAAATAATATCCATGAATTCCAGCCTGTCCCTCAGTAGCTGCTATTTACATATAAGCCTTATTCACAGCATCCAAAACTCTTCACAGCACAGTTGTAGCACATCTGTATTGCACACAAAAGATCCCCAGTTCTGGCTGCCGCACTTCCAACTGATACAGTTACGAAAAACTGAAAATCCTGAAAAGTGACATTGCACATTGTGAGTGACTCAGGTAAATCACCTGTGTTTATTTATAGATTTAGGAGGCGCACACGATACTCGTTTTCCAAGTTCATCCTCATAGCAACCCTCTATTGGGCTAATGACTGGCTCAGAGTCATCTTGTGAACTTCCATAGTTGAAGGTGGATGAGACTTGTTGGATTCTGAAGATGCCAACTATAAGACAGCCCCCAGGCCTTCCAGTACCGGAGCTTTCAATGACTTACCATATTTTTCGGAGTATAAGACGCACCTTTTTCCCCCCTAAAAGAAGGTGAAAATTTAGATGCGTCTTATACACCGAATGTAGTCCCACCCACCCACTGGCCCCCACCCTTTGGCCTCTGCCTCCCAGCAGTTACCTCCTTGCAGCAAGCAGCAAGAAGAAATAGCTCCTTTCAGCTTCAGCACAGCCTGATTAGCACAAGTTGATTAGATCGGCCTTCCGACTCTCAGCTGTTTTGCACTCATCTGTTTTGCACTAGCCTCTGCTGCTTGCTGCAAGGAGGTAAATTGCTGAAGCAGATTTTTTTTCCCCTTGTGCTAATCAAGCTATGCTGAAAGCGAAAATGAAAGTAAAGCAGGCTGTTTGCTGTTTGCTTCAATGAGGCAAAATTGCTGGGAGGCAGAGGCAAAGCAGATTTCTTTTTCTTGTTTTCCTCACCAAAAAAAGTAGGTGCGCCTTATAGTCCGGTGCGTTTTATACTCTGAAAAATACGGTACATCAGAGGTTCCCAAACTTGGCAGCTTTAAGACTTGTGGACTTCAACTCCCAGAATTCTCCAGCCAGCATAGCTGAAGAGGTTGTTAAAAAATGCTTTTAAAAGCCTCTGACGATCCCAGTTGACTTGCCTAATCGGCAGAGGCTTTTCTTTTTTTCTTTTTAAAGCCTCTGACAATCCCAGCTGACTTGCCTGATCAGCAGAGGCTTTGTTTTTACTTTTAAAATCATTTTTTTGGCCGAAGAGGTTGTAGAAAAAATGCTTTTAAAAATAAAATAAAAAGCCTCTGATGATTGCGCGGCTCAGCTGGGCATGTGGGGGGGGGGAAGGATTTTTGCTACCGGTTCTCCGAACCACCGGCCACCATCACTACCGGATCGGGTGATCCGGTCCGAACCGGGAGCATTTCAAGGTCCCTTCCAACTCTGTTTTTGTTTCCTGTTATATCTATGTTATCCGGAGAAGCATTTTAAACTAGAGTGAATCATATACAGGTGGTCCTTGACTTACAGTCACTTGTTTGGTGACCATTTGAAGTTATAACAACACTGAAAGAAGTGACTTATGAGCGGTTCTCACACTTGCACACATCGAACATCTCAACGGTCACATGACCAAACTTTGGGGCCCTTGGCAACTGGCATGTATTTACGACAGTTGCAGACTCCTGGGTTCATGCGATCTCTATCCCGAGACCTTCCCTGCCAGTTTCTGATAAGCAAAGACAATGGGGGAAGATGGAGTTGCTTAACAGCTGCACGATTCACTTAACAACTGCAGTGGTTCATTTAACAACCATGGCAAAAAAAAGGTCAGAAAACCAGGCACGGCTCATTTAACCACCTCTTTCCTTACCGACAGACATTCTGGTCCCAATGGTCGTACGTTGAGGATTAGAGGCACACGGTCAGAGACACACAACTACGCTGATCAGAATGAGACAGCCGACAAATTGCTCGGGATCAATTTGCAATGGGCTTCG